CATTTCCATCTATAAGCTGCTGGTAATTGTCAAGAAGGTGTATTTGCTGTAGAGCTACAGTATTGTGGATGGCCTATGCTGAAGAAGTTGCCTCGTTTTATAATCCTAACATTTTATTGTTATAGCTGAGGAGAAAACAAATTAACCCTTTTGATTTGCTCCAGGGTTTTTCTACAGCTCACTCATAGTAAAAATATTAAGACATATATGCATTAGCGCTCATCAATAAAAGACGAAATACTTCTTTTTTTCCCACCTTCTACCTAACTGTTTTCTATATTGCCTTAACAAAGTGCTTTAAGAGCAACAGTTAGGCACTCTGGAAAACATTCCCACATCCGGATAATAACAAAATTGCAGGGCATTTTTAGATGCCCAGAAAAAGCAGTCAGGTTGTCACAGGAACTGTCACTCCCACTGACTACAATAGAATTTTATGAACTGGCTCAATGATTTATTTTGTTAAAAAACCCAAAAAGATATATTTGAACATCATATCTTCCACAATGGTTACATTTAGCTGTGCTTTCAACACTAAAGTTCATCCTACAAGATGCCTGCACCTTGCTGCCTGTTGTTCAACAGCTCCAGTGGGTGAATATCCACTACACTGCCGTGGCACACCCCTGTCTTAAGACCCTGTTTTAGGGCCAGTTCTATATACAGGAGCTGGTCAAAACAGAAAAATCTGAGTGTGTGATGTGAATTGTGACAAAAGTTTTGAAAAAGCCACATCTAATGCAAAAGATAAAGATGGATGACCTGAAAGCCCTATGCATAGCTAAAGTCTACAGGCACTACAGGCAAGTTCTCAGGTCTGCGCTGACAGCAACGCTACAATAATCGAGAGCTGCTGCTTTCCCACCAAGGGCTCTCACTAACTCGGCTCTACCTCAAAGTCTCCTAGCTACTATGGGCATTTTGATATGTATTTATTGTAATAACATGGATGGCACCTGCTATTTCCATTTAGCTCCTATCTTCCTGCTTGCAGGAAAATGCTTACAGTTTCATTTGCTTTTAAAGAGCATTTGTTGTTAATGTTCCTCAAGGGCAAATATAAGGGTGACGCTCAATATGGAGACTGAGTCAAGCCCTTAGCTAATCTCCAGTTTCTGTACATATTACCTAGTGAAGAGTTACTATGCTATTTAGACAATATTCTGTGAAAAGACTGTAAGGAAGCTATGTCAATGTGTTTCTTCCTTTAGCTTCCTGTACAAACTGAGAAATGCACAATAATTCACTTTATTTTGTTAGGCTCAGATCTTCCTTCCAATCTTACTCTTTACAAATTCTGTTACATCTTCTTTTAATTTCTGTTTTGCTCAAGTAGAAAATATTTTTTTAGGATAACTAAATAGTGAGGAAACTGGTAAGAGAACACAGACTCTTTCATTTCTAAACCACTGATTCAAATCCAGACTGATTAGGGCACAAAATGGAAATTGTTCTCCCATACTGACGGCTTTTCAACAGCTCAAGTCTAAAGAGATGAGGGTCTTAGATCAGCTCCCAATGAACAGATACAGAACATGAAACATTGTTAGCACTGCTCATGACTTGTATCTTTGTTAGTCTTTTCCATGAGACTGCCAGCATCTTCCTGCAGAAGGCAACAGATTTTCATTCCTAAGAACAACTTCCTCCAGATAAAAATTATATATTGGCATTACCATGTTAAAATGTTTTGCATATGACTCTTGTTCTATAGCCCTTGTGGACTTCTGTCTCACTTCTTATCACCACTGAAAAAACAAATTCACTTAAGACTCCTGCTCTTATTTTACTGACATTGCATTGATGGGGACTCCCATAAGTGTTTTAACAAGTATCTTGCTCATTACTTTTATTCGCTATGTTGCAGTACAGTAAAAGCACTAAAAAGACAGCAGAAACATTTCCAAATCCATGCAAAGGGTTTAACATATTTTTCAATCCTACCCTACAGTAGAAATGCGTCTTACAATATTTACTCTGTTTCTCATTCCAACACTGCCTGTATCAGGGCAACACTACCTGGCCAGAGCACAGTTCTGCTATTTCCAGCTCTGCATCCAACTTCCAAGGTGGGACTCATACATCAAGCACAGCTGACACCACAGAAAATGTTGGAGGTAAAGGGAAATTCTATCATTTACTTAAAAATACATTGGAAGAAGTGTGTATCTCCAAAGTCTGAAAGTATGTACACTTCATGCCATATCCTCAGATAAAGAAATGCACATCAATGGGCTTCTCCAAAGAAATAAAACACTTCCCATACTCCAGTAAGATACTGCAGCAGGTGAGAAGACTCAAGTTAAGTGTATAAAAAAACGCCTGGAGATCCTGAGTTGAAAGATGGCATATGAGCCGGAAGTGAAAACATTAGGAATGATTTACAGAAGTTATCATAGAATCACAGAATGTTAGAGGTTGGAAGGGACCTCAAAAGATCATCTAGTCCAGCCCCCCTGCCAGAGATCAGGATCACCTACAGTAGATCGCACAGGAACGCGTCCAGGCAGGTTTTGAATGTTTCCAAAGAAGGAGACTCCACAACCTCCCTGGGCAGCCTGTAGCCACATTTACTCTAATCATTTTTCAGCTCTGAACTGATGCTTGTTGCATCTAGCATCTCAGACTAAGTTGCAATTTTAAGATATAGTGATACATTAATATATAATTATTTTGTTCAGACTTTTTTTTTTTCCTCCTTTTCTCTGTTAGACTAGACAGACTACAGGTGTGAAACCTATATTTTGTTAAGAAGAGCATGATCTCATAGACTTAACTAGAGGCCCATTTTAATACAGCACAGTGCTGAGGTGATTTTTAAGTCAGAGCTGGTAGTGCCTTTGCACTGAAGCAAACACAAGATTAGGACAACTGAATTCATTAATTCAAATAAAGTTTCTGCATAAAATACAAAGACACTAGATAAATATTGAATTGTTCAGTAAGGGAAAGCAAGCCACATTGTGGGAAAGAGAGCTACAAGCACTGCTATGCCTTTTTTGATTTCTGTTCTCTAAGATTTCCTCAGAGTTACATGGATCCTCCTAACTATGGTGCAACCAAACCCAGTAGTCATTTGATGCAAAAGGGTCACACACTAGCTGCAAGCATGCCATGGGTTTCTTTGTCCCCTCTTGAAGTGTTAATAAGATTTCACAGAGGTACTTTGTGTCAGAATTGCCAAGAAGTCGCTTTCAAGCTACACAATAAGGTGCTTTCCTAACCTCCTATTCCTTGGTGTTCACCTCAGTGACTCATAAGGAAGGATTAAAACCGTATCCTTGGAGTTCCCAGAAAGCCTCATTTTGTAAATATAACAATCTTTTTGCAAGCTCTCTAGTACTTGCTTCCTATAACTGACTCTGGTTCCAAACACCACCAGACTGCGCCCACTGGCTCAGACCAAAAGGCATTCCTAGTCCTGGCTCTGTCACTGGCCATGACGGTCAGCAGGTGCCTAGAGAAGAGAGGAAGAACAAGAGCAGCACACAGTGCTACTTAACCAGCTGAACAGTCTGTTGACTCACAGACTTTCTTAGTTACTGCAAGAATCTTGATGCTTGCAGAACATGCAGTTGTATAGATGTTTACTTGTACGCACTTCCTTTCCACTGAAGATTTTCTTCCATTATTCAAATTTAAATCCAAGATCTACGAGGCTCTAATTCACAGCCAAAGTAACTAGGAAAGACTACTTCAGACTTTACCGACCTTTGTTTCTGGCCAACAAAAGGCTGAATCAGATGGTGACATGTGTCACTGAAACACACCTTGCTTCTAAGAGTCACAGAACCATTTAGGTTGGAAAAGACCTTTAAGATCACAAAGTCCATCTGAACAGTCTTGCACAATAAACCAAGACAAAACTAGGACTAACATGAAAACAACACTAAAAAGATTTCTTATCCACCAGGAGACTAACACACCTGTGTTACACCAGTATCAGCCCTTACTGAAATTCTACTTCCACAAATTATACAGAAAATACATTTGCAAATTTCCAGATCTCCAATCAAGCCCCATACAAAACAGATGACTGATCAGTTCAAGCGACACTTTGAATATGTTTGCAATAAATTCTGCAAGCCTTAAACTTTTATTACTCCAGCAATTACTCCACTGATTTACAGTGTGACTAAAATGAAGAATCCTCATGGTTGACTCAAATAACATCCTCTTACAGTGTTCCACACAGATGAAGAAGATTACATAAGACAAAATAATAGAGAACTGGTGCATGACAACCTATTCATCTCCTCAGTTGTCACCCAAGTGCCACTCCAAAGATTTTCCTTGGCTTCAGGTCCATACTTGTACTTACAAAATCTCTTCCTGACAAATTCTGATCAAAACAGACGGTGATGATAAGGAAAGACAGTTTATTTGACAGTTATTATCCAATAACTTAGCATCCCACAGTACTAAGCTATTCAGAATGGAAAAGACTTTAAAACAAAAGAGTAAGTCCAAAGTTTACCGAACTCTAGACCCAAGTTCCCAGCACCAATCTGTCTGCACTGATGGAAGGATGATAAACAACTTGAGAATGCCAGATATCATGAGGGATCTGCTTTTAATATCTACACATGAGCCTCTCTTTAGAAATTCCTACAACTAGCCTCTCCTCCCATTTTTTTCCGTTTTGTACTAAGAGATGCCAAAGGCACAAACTAACACACTGGCAACGAAGAAAAGCTGACATGAAGTTATATGGCCAGGAAATCTAGCCCAGATCTCCTGTGGCCTACACAGTGCCTTCCTCATAGGTCCTTTCTTGCAATCACTTTCATCATAACCAGCCAGTAAGCAGAGCTTGACAGAAATATGCCAGAAGCAGATCTTTTCTCATATCTCAGTTCCTCCAATCGCTAAAAAACTTCTCTCAGCCCGGCAAAGCTCTTTCTGTGTCAGAATAGAGGCTGCTTAGCTTGAATAAAGATTTTGTCCCAAACACTGACAAACCTTTTCAGAATCTACAAAGCCTGCAGTTCACCACATACCTATCCAGAGTGTCCTGAGGCACTTTACTCCCTCCGGCTCTGCTGTTGACACTGGCGTTCTTGTTGGCAGTCATGGTCATCTCTGCTTTCTAGAAACGTGGATATCTGCGGGAAAAAAAAAAAGTCAGTTAAGGTTCAACAAGCTCAAACCTCCAAGATAGAAGTACCACAATGTGTAAAGACAGAACTCTGGGCTACTTTTTGTTCTATGAAATGCAGTCAGCTTAGTTCTGATCCTAAGAAACCAAACCTTACTTCTTTACTGCTCCTCTTTCTTTTCCTCAATCGACAGTTGAGTTTATCAGAGCCCAGTGCTACAAAAGAAGATATATTAAGGGAATTAGGTGTATGCTTCAGGTTCTGGCCGGTCTCATGAACAAAGCTTGATACCAAGTTCACAAAATTGGATGCAAGAAAGCGGTAACCTCTAACCTCATGACCTCTGTTGACCATATCCCTGTTTCTCTGGTGTAGAGCACAGCTCTCAGCAGCAATTTCCTCTGCTATCGTTATCACTTGAGAAATGTTTCACAAAATGAGAGAGAAATGTATTTTTATGTCATGGTAAGATTTCTAAAATGTCAGTAGCGTCCCTTGTGAAAGACATTGAACAGTGCTTATTCCACCTGATGCTACAGGAGTTACTTATCAAGGATTCTCGGGTTCTGTTGGCACATGCTCTAGGTGGTTTCTGAGATGCTCCTTAGTTTATGGGCTAAAATATCTACCATGGTTTGCACCACTGCCACATGAGCTCTGACCAGAACTACCAATTTTTACAACCATTAATGGCATCGCTAACACAAATTAAGGAGTATTACAAAACTCCTTGTTTACTCAAACCCACAGTAAGTCCAGACTGCTTGAGAAGCCAACTGCAACGTGATGCTGAAAAGCAAGCTGGGTACTGACAATACACAAAATCCTTCTACTAACAGACCCATCGCAGTGAAAAGGACACTCTCTAAACCACTTTATTCCAAACAGCTTTGTCACAAACACAGTCAGAAAATCTCCTGTAGAGTGCAGTTCCAGAGGCAGAATCAATCACATTGACCACAGACTCCAGGTCTACCTGTTCTTCTCCAATTCCCTCGTGTCTACCAATTTTCTCAGATTAAGCTGAGAATTTTTTCCCAGTTGGTAATACTTTTTCTACACTGAAGTTCCCCATATTCCTCCAGTGTCTTATTATTGTTAGTGTTACATCATCAAGATAACAGGACTGTTACAGAACTGCCTGTTCCGATTGGAAAAGGGCCTGGCTTGGGACAAGAAAGGAAACCCGGTAATGCTGGCCAAGCTTTCTAGGACTGTACATTCCACAGGGAGCCAGCAGCTTTTTTAACGTTTTTCCATTTGCCAGTTCAATACTTTTACTGTATTAAATCTGTTTAAATAACTTATTAGGAATTAAGGTGAGAAAATTAAGAGATATAAATGTGGTATAAGGTGAATAACAACTGTTGGTATGCATGTGTTACATCCATTTTCCAGGATTTGCTTTTCTATTGAAGACCAATATAAGCTGAAGGGACCCTCAAAAAAATGGGATACTGATCTGGCACATAAAAACCAGATAGGGTGCTTTTATGTTGCTGTTGTATGCAAGTCCACTTTTCCCATACACAAAATCTGATGGAAAAAAAGTACGCACGTTTGTACATCCAAGCTTGGTAAAAATCATTGCAGTCAGTATTTTTAAAAGTGCTTTATTTATTTCCAAGCTACCTTAAATGTCAAATAGGCCAAGCTGGTTTGTTTTCAGCAAAAGAGGAATTGAGTTCTAAAAGACAATTTCACAAGTTATGTCAAATTTAGTGACATAAGCAAGTTTCTTCCCATGCAGAATCTGGTATACATGCTGACTTATGGCTTGTGGCCAGTGGTGTTCCCCAGGAATCAGTACTGCGTCCAGTTTTTTCATAATCTTTATCAACGACCTGGACAAGGGGACAGAGTGCACCTTCAGCAAGTTTCCTGATGATTCAAAACTGGGAGGGGTGGCTGACAC